GAACTTTTTCAATGAATTTGAACAATAAGCAGGGAAATTTGGAGGGGGATTTGGGGTCAAGGAACAGCTTTTATTTCCAACATTACATTATAAAAAGTATGTAATTACATATAGAAAAGTTGAAAGAATTTTGCAGTAAAATTGCTAAATTTTCTACTTAAAATTTTACTCTGCTTGCATTATCACATTTCTTTATCCATAGGGAAGGGGATTTTTAAAAGATGGAAGACATTCCTATAGCATGTTTGTATGCCTGGAATGTGATTCTGTAACCAGGGGAAGATTCATCATATAGGAAGGAAAGGCAATAGCCAAATAAAGGAGTGAAGTCCTTGAGAGGTGAGGGGAATGGAATTCAGAGTATAGGTAAAGGGCCTGCCTTTTGTTGTTACAGAAGGAAGGAAAGAGGACATGGGTACAGAATCATGAGTGTTTGGGGATTTTGTATCGGGAAGACGTGGCAAAAACTGCACGATTGCCTAACAGCCAGACCCTCTTTTTCCTTGTTAATAGAACCAAAATTTGGTGTGGGGGTAGCAGTGTGTCCATACTTAGGGGATTCGTTGTAATTGGTGTAAGCCAGTCATGATGACTGCATTCCTCTTTCTTTGCCAGACACTAACTTTCCTATCATACCTTGTACCAGGAGAATGGTCATATAACCTATTTCTAGTCAATGGAACTTTAAGGCTTGTTTGCTGGAGCTGGTGGGTGGGAGTGGGGTGGTGTGTGGGGGTGGCTCTGTGACAGTTTTTCCTTTACTAACAAAAGGAGAAGGAACTTCTTACATAAAAGGTTCTTTTGCTGCCTCCTTGCATCCCCCCATCTCCTATCCCGAGTGTTTCAATTTCTTTTCTTTTCTTTCTTTCTTTTCTTTTTTCCTTTGTTTTGAGACAGAGTCAAGTGATTCTCCTGCCTCAGCCTTCTGAGTAGCTGGGATCACAGGTGCCCACTACCATGCCCAGCTTATTTTGTATTTTTAGTAGAGACAGGTTTCACCATATTGGCCAGGCTGGTCTTGAACTCCTGACCTCAGGTGATCTGCCCACCTTGGCCTCCCAAAGTGCTGGGATTACAGCTGTGAGACACTGTGCCTGGCCCCGCCTCACCTTTTTTTTTTTCTTGTACAGATGGGGTCTCACTTTCTCACCCAGTCCAGAGGGCAGTGGCCAATCATAGCTCACTGTAACCTTGAGCCCCTGGGCTCAAGCGATCTTCCCACCTCAGTTTCCTTACTAGGACTACAAGTGTACACCACCACACCTGGCTCATTTCTGTATTTAATTTATTTTTTTTGGTAGAGATGGGGTCTCAAAGTGCTGTTATGCCTAGCTAATTTTTTTCTTTTTCTTTTTCTTTTTGTAGAGATAGGGTCTTGCTATGTTGCTCAGGCTGGTTTCGAACTCTTGGCCTCAAGTGATTTTCCCACTTTGGCCTCTCAAAGCACGGGAATTACAGAGGTAAGTCACCATGCCCAGCCTGTTTCCTATTTCTGAATGTGGTCATGACTCATGATGTTAGGAAGTATGCTAGCTGTCTTTCAACCTCAGGCAATAAGCTTGAAGATGAAAAGTCAGAGCTGAGGAATGCAGAGAGGCTATGATGATATTACTTAGCAGCTGAACACAGGGCAAAAACTGCCTCCGACAGATGTATTTCTTTATCATAGAAAAATAAACTCCAATTTATTGAAGTCTTTGTAGCCAGTTTTATGTCACTTTAACAGAATATAGATACATAATACAAAGGAAGTATGGTGGCTATTACTTTTTTCCTGTTGAATACCTCTTCCTAGGTTTATGCTAGTCACAGACTCTATTCTCCAGGCTATAGGAGTGAACACCTGACCCAAACAGGACTTAGATTCTTCCTACTGAGAATTTGAAACTTAATCAGGAATACCCAAAGACAGAAGGAACTAACCTAATGACAACTTCCAGAAAGAAGGCTGAAGATCTCCAGCCCCTAGGATTTGTATCCTACTCAAGGTCTATCTATGAGTTACTCCATTAGCCTCTCAAAAAATCTCCAGCTGGAGTTGGTTTCTATTTATTTAAACCAGTGGTTCTCAGCCAGGGGAGATTGTATTCTTCAATGGATCTCTGGCAATGTCTGGAGATATTTTTGGTTGACAACTGGCAGTGGATGTTAGTGGCATCTAGTGAGTAGAGACCAGGGATTCTGCTAACATCCTGTAACGCACAGAACAACTCCCCACAACAAAGACTTACTCGGCCTCAAATGTCATTAGTGTTGAGAAATCCTGCTTTAAAACAGGAGTTCCTTAACTGATACAAAGAGGTTCTCAACAAAGCTGACTCAGGATCACCTCTGAAATGAGTGTGAAGGAAGAATGGGAGGTTTGAGGAGTAAGGAAAGGTATGGAATGGTCATTATGGGTGTGGGAGAGAGAAAGTGGAAAGTTGCTGGGCAGTACTTAGGGTCTGTCTGAGATTGATGACCATGAATTTGGAGACATAGGTCCAGTGATTTTTCTCCTGCAATGTAGAGCTGCATGGCACAAACAAGAAGAAGGTATATGTTGGGTTCATCCAAGGTTGGGTTTCTGTCAGGTGAGAGCAGCAGAGGGAAAGAAAGGCAAGGAAGTTGATATTTGTATGGGAGTGATTTTACTGATTAACCAGAGTAATTAAGCTGGGTAATGGGGGGGGGGCAGGAATGATGAGATAATTGATGGGATCCAGTGGATCCAGGAAACAGCCTTATTGGTACCCCTCAGAGGTTGTCAGAAAACAGAATTTCAGGCTTCCTTGCAGATCTACTGAATCAGACTTTGGATTTATTTTATTTTTTGGAGACCGGGTCTCACTCCTGTCACCCAGGCTGGAGTGCAGTGGTGCCGTCACAGCTCACTGCAGCCTCACCTCCCCAGGCTCAGGTGATTCTCCCACCTTAGCCTCCTAAGTAGCTGGGACTACAGATGTCTGCCACCACACCTGGCTAATTTTTTGTACTTTCAATAGAGACGAGTTTTGCCGTATTGCTCAGGCTGGTGTCAAACTCCTGGTCTTAAGAGATCCACCTACCTCAGCCTCCCACAATGCTGGGATTACAGGCCTGAGCCACCATGTCCGGTTACATTTTAAAACATTTTGTTTTGTTTTGTTTTGTTTTTTAGGGACAGTGTCTCAGTCTGTGTCACTCAGGCTGGAGTGCCCTGGTGTGATCATAGCTCACTGTAACCTTGAACTTCTGGGCTCAAGCAAGTGATCATCCTGCCTCAGCCTCCCAAGTAGCTGGGACTACAGGTGTTCAACACCAGACCTCTGGCTAGAATTTACATTTTAACAAGTTCCCGCTGTGACTTAAATGCACATTAAAGATTGAGAAGCCATGCATTAGTGGATTTGATGAAGGTAAGGAATTTCTGCACTGAGAATACTGAAAATATGATCCTGGGTGAATTATCTAGTCCAGAGGTTAGTAATTTTTTTTTTTTTTCCTATAAGGGGCCAAGAGCCATACAGTTTCTGTCACAACTATTTAACTCTGCCATTGTAGTACGAAAACAGCCTGAGACGATAGATAACACATACACAAGATGGACAGATGTTGAAATTTGCTGTGTTCTAATAAGACTGTCAACAAAAACAAGTAATGGCAAGTAATGGGTTGATTTGACCCAAGGGCCATTGTTTGCTCATCCCTGATCTTGACCTTAATAAAAACAACAACAACAACAACAGTAAGTCTTAGCTCCCCAGAAAAGTTTACCCTGAGTTTTCTAGGTTCTGACTACTTACAGTCTCTTGGAAGTAAGTATTCTCCCTCCCTCTTACCTTTTTTTTTTTTTTTTTTGAGATGGAATCTCACTCCGTCACCCAAGCTGGAGTGCAGTGGTGCGATTTTGGCTCACTGCAATCTCTGCCTTCTGGGTTCAAGTGATTCTCCTGCTGCAGCCTCCCAAGTGGCTGGGATTACAGGCATGTGCCACCATGTCTGGCTAATCTTTGTATTTTTAGTAGAGACGCAGTTTCACCATGTTGGCCGGGTTGGTCTTGATCTGCCCGCCTCGGCCTTCTAAAGTGCTAGGATTACAGGCGTGAGCCACCGCACTCAGCCCCTCTTCCCTTTTCTTAACACAATGAAGAATTTGATTTTGTAACTAATTGGCCAGTTGATGTTCTGCAGGGTCCTAAAAGAGGAAGTAAGAAGGGAACTGAAGTCTTAGAAAACCAGAATCTCCTCGAAACCATTGTTTTCACCCTAGAGTAGAAAGAGATGTAATACGGGTCAGGGTTCGCGTCAGCTGGTTCTCTGGGGTTGTTTCACTTTTATTTTCTTCTGGCCTCTAGCAAACACATTTTGAGTTTCTCAGCTGAGCCAAAGGAAATCAAGAAATCTCTTGAAATCAAGGAAATCAAGGAATCAATTACTTACACCAAGCTGAGCAAGAGACAACTTGAAGGCAGAGGTAGCAGTAATCAGACAAGATTTCCAAGGTAACAGGGCAGAAGTAGGGGCGAGGTGGGGAACAGAAATAAAAGCTACTGGACATCTCCTCACTAGGACTTTATTTTTATTTATTTATTTATTTATTTATTTTGGGTTTTTTATTTTTTATTTTTGGTGTTTCTTTGTTTTGTTCTGTTTTTTGAGATGGAGTCTCGCTCTTGTGGCCCAGGCTAGAGTGTTGTGGGGCGATCTCAGCTCACTGAAACCTCTGCCTCCTGTGTTCAAGCAATTCTCCTGTCTCAGCCTCCTGAATAGCTGGGACTACAGGTGCTCACCACCACGCCCAGCTAACTTTTGTGTTTTTAGTAGAGATCGGGTTTCACCATGTTGGCCAGGCTGGTCTCCAACTCTTGACCTCAGGTGATCTGCCTGCCTAGGCCTCCCAAAGTGCTGGAATTACAGGCATAAGCCATCGCATCTGGCCACTTTTCTAGCACTTTACACGTATCATTGGAATCCTTACAGTTAGTTCAGCATTATTATCCCCAGGTTATAGGTTGGGAAACGAAGACCAATATATTATTAGACATTAATAAAGCACTTTGCTCCGGGCACCCTCTGCTTTACAAATACAAACTCATTTAATCCTTACCACAACTATATGAGGCTTGAACTATTGTTGCCTGCATTTTACAAGTGGGAAAGCTGTGCTTTAAAGAGAGGGGTTAAGTGACTTGCTGGAGGCCATTAGCTAATATGAATGGAGCTGGGTTTTTAATCCAGGTGGACAGGTTTCATTGTTCACACTCTTAACCACTATACCTCCTAGATTCACTCTTTCCAGACTTGAACAACTACTCTGCTAGAAAATGCACCTGGCCTAGAGTTAGGGAACTAACTCAAAACCAGGCACATGTAATAAGCAGTAGAGCCAGGGTTGGGGTCCAATTCTGATGCTAAAGCTTATGTATTTTCCCTTGTCCAAGGCAGTGACTATGTTCTTTTTTTTTTTTGTCTTAATTAGTATTATAGAACAGTTGGAATATACAAGGTAGTGACTATGGTTTTGTTGTTGTTGTTGCTGCTTTTTTTTTTTTTTGAGACAGAATCTCACTCTCTTGTCCAGGCTGGAGTGCCATGGCATGATCTTGGCTCACTGCAACTTCCATGTCCTGAGTTCAAGCGAGTCTCCTGCCTTAGCCTCCTCAGTAGTTGGGATTACAGACATGCACCACCACATCCTACTAATTTTTTTTTTTTTTTGTATTTTTAGTAGAAATGGGGTTTCACCATGTTGGTCAGGCTGCTTTCAAACTCCTGACCTCAACTGATCCGCCTGCCTCTGCCTCTCAAAGTGCTGGGATTACAGGTGTGAGCCACCGAGTCTGACCCATGTTCTTTAGACCTCTTTCCCACCAGGAGATTCTCTGTCAGTGCTAAACCTTCAAGTTTTAGCTTCACTTATTGTTATTATTTTACCACATGGGTTCATTTTATTGAGCTGAAAGCTTACAAAAAGTCCACTGGTCCCTGACCTGCCCATGTTACACTCGTTCCTTCCCATGCACACTCTTGAGTATCCACAAGTGCTTCCACATAACTGGTTTCCCCCAACAAAGCACAAAGGGTGGTGCTTCCAAAGCATGTGTTGTTCCTAGCAGCAAGACTTTCAATGCTGGGGTTTTATTTATTCTGCAAGGTGGTATTTCTTTTTCTTTTTTCTTTCCTTTCCTTTCCTTTCCTCCCCTCCCCTCCCTTCCCCTTCCCTGCCTTTTCTTTTTTTTTTTGACAGAGTCTCACTCTGTTGCCCAGGCTGGAGTGTGCAGTGGCATGATCTCGGCTCACTGCAACCTCAGCCTCCCGGGTTCAAGCGATT